GGCCAAAAAGGTCGCGAAACCATCTACAATCACTGTTTAGCTTGTGCTGAGGCCAAATGACGAAGTCTTGAACCCAACACCATTTCGAGTGAAAGCGTTTAAGGAGAAAGATTCGCAGGTCGATCCCATCAGAAGACGACCACTAGTGAATCCTTTTTGACAATCTGTCGATTAGCTTTTATGGAACGTACTTGTTGATTCGCTTTCCCACGTCGTATTACGGGCATCATCAGAACAAGGAGGATATGATTATTACTTGTTGATTTGCAAAACGTGGTGAATCTGTTAACAATTTTCAGTTTACATTTCAACTGATGGGGTGGTAGCAAATGACTTAAACTTTGCATTTCCAAATGATAAGAACTTTAAAGAGGAAATTTTGGCAGAAGTGACATTGAAACACAAGTTGTCCCTTTAATTGATGTCATGTGAAAACACAATAATCAAGAATAGGAGAGATAAGACTATTATAAGGTATCTTCAGGAGAACGAGAAACGAGTACTAAAAGCAGACAAAGGAGGAGCAGTAGTAGTCATGGCTAGGATTGATTATGTAGAGAAAATGTTAGAGGCATTCGATGATGATGCAACATATAAGACTATAACTGGGACCCGACAGAAGGCCTTTAGGTCAGACTTAAGAGCATTCTGCAACAATGGGTAGAGAGTGGAAAAGTGGAAAAGTGGAAAAGGAATGCACTTCTCCGGCGAGATGCTAGACCCCCAAGCGCGTATCGTCTGCTCAAAATTCATAAGCAGGTAGCCCATTTGGGATTATTGTAAATAATAGAGGTCGTGTGATGCATAAAACATAACGATTTGTATGTACTGACGTATGTACTTGGACGTTTTCAGTAAAGAGCTCCTACGACTTTATTAAGTTGATTGATGAGCAGACGATTAAAAGAGGAGATTCGATGGTAAGTTTCGATGTAGTTTCTATGCACACTAACATTCCAAAAAACGAGGCAATGAAGTTGTTAGAAGTAACACTGAAACAACACCCTGAAAGCATAACAAATAAAAAGTTAATCAAGATTTAATAATTAGATGAGTCAATTTTGCAATGTATAATGCATAGTTTACCTTCAATTGTAGGCTGTTGTAGCAGACGCAGGGTTTGATTATGGGCTCTTGTTTAGCCGACAGCTACATGACCTAATTTGAAGTCCGCGTGTTTCAAGAGACATTCCTCGTTCCAAAGTTATCACTTCACTATTTGGACGATTACTTTGCTATTTGGCAACGCTGCAAATGCAGTTTGAGGGAATAGATGCAAACACCAAGTTTAGCATAGAGTTAGAAAAGGAAAATAAATTGCTTTTTTTGGATGTGTTAGTGAGCAAAGTAGGTAATACGTTAAGCAGAGACGTATTTCGAATTTCACAGAGACGCGGGTTTTCGTATTAACCTTTTCTCGATCCATACATCTAAAGTAAAAAGAGGAGTTATGACAATGAGAAATCTGCGTCTAGCAGATGCAAACCAGTAGATTGGTAGATTGAGGGATGTACTGTTTCGAAACAATTACCC